ATGGGGCGTGAGGGAGATGATGATGGGGATGTGATAATGGGGATGTGATGATGGGGATGTGATGATGGGGAGGTGATGGTGGCGGAGGTGATGATGGGGGAGGTGATGGTGGGGGAGGTGATGATGGGGGATGAGGGAGATGATGATGGGGAGATGATGATGGGGGAGGTGATGGTGGATGTGATAGAAAGGAGATGACAGCAGAGAGGGATGATGGCAGTGGTGGTGGAGGAGGAGACAGTAGGGGTACAGGTGATGGTGTGGTAGAATGAATGATGGTAGAGTTGATGTTGGCGCTCCGATTGTTTGTGCAGTTGGTGGATGACAGGCAGAGGGAAGGGCCATGACAGCCTTCACAGAGGCAATGCTGAGTGTAGTCTTTGAGTCTGCTGTTCCTGAGAACCTGTTAATATTTTGGTAATGGCAAGACGTATGCTGTCTCTCTTAGCAAATGGCTTTTTCAAAGGTAAGGAAACCCCTTTCTAGTTTTACATTGCTAAGATTCTTTTTTTAAAAATATTTATTTTATGTGCATTGTTGTTTTCAGGTCCTCTGGAACTGGAGTTGCAGACAACTATGAACTGCCTTTGGGTGCTGAGAACTGAACCTGGGTCCTCTGGAAGAGCAGTCAGTGCTCTTAACCCCTGAGCCATCTCTCTAACCCCGGATTACTAAGATTTTGTGTCACTGATGACCACTGTCTAGTTAAGATCACTATTCCCGTGATGAGACACCACGACCAAAGCCACTCGGGGAGGAAAGGGTTTATTTCACTCACAGTTCCCTTCGTCATCAGAAGCAGTGAGGGCAGGAACTCAAGCAGGGCAGGAGCCGCAGGAGCTGATGCAGTGGCCATGGAGGGGTGCTGCTTACTGGCTTGCTCCCCATGGATTTCTCAGCCTGCTTTTTTTTTTTTTTTTTTTATAGAACCCAGGACCACCAGTTCAGGGATGACTTCACCCACCGTGGGCTGGGCCCTCCCCGTCAATCACTAACTAAGAAAATGCCCTACAGCTGGATCTTATGAGGGAGCCAGTTGAGGCTCCCTCCTTTCCTGTGACTCCAGCTTGTGTCAAGTTGACATGAAAGAAGCCAGGCCAGCCACTGAGGTCTAGCAAATGCTTTCCAGCCTAGATTGGAACACTAAGTTTCCCTTCACTGAGCGAGGCTGGGTGGACCTGTCCCTGGCAAGCTGAATGAGCTGGCTCTGTGAGCACCTACTCTCCTCCTGCTGTCTAGCCTGGCGTCTCCCCGAAGTGCTGACCCTGCAGGGCTGGGAGCTGTGCCTCAGGCAGGCAGAGCCGTCCCTGGGACAGCATCCCCTGCACTGCTGCTGACTCAGCGCTTTCTCCAGCACACTTCTGCTGCTGTTTCCGGCTGGTGGGATCCCTGGGGGACCCGACTTCCCCCGAGTTGTTCCAGACAGAGACATCCTGAGGCTGGGTAAAAATGCCAGTGGCAGACAGGCGGGGGAGGGGGGATCTTGATGCCCTGCTAACCCACCCCTGAGGCTGGAGGGGTTGGGGAGTGCTTCTGAGGTTGGGGTGAGGGGAGGAGGGGCTGTCTGGACAGAGAGGGTGGATGAATCATGATCTGGCCTGTACTGGTTATTGGCTAAAATGAGGACTTTTCCAAGTCTGTGGAGTCTTTTTGTTTGAGCTGGAAAGAAATATGGTTCATGGGATCCAGTTACCTCATCCACTGCAAGCAAGCAGAGAAAGTTGCCTGGGAGGATGGGACAATCTCTGCCTCCTGGCTTTCCAGGGCCCTTGCTGGAGGAAGGTGAGCCAAGGGTGATGCCTCTGAGGTGATCTCTTGAGAGTGACCAGGCCTGTGTCACCTTAACTATGGCTACTGGGAGCCGGTCTGGAAGGTGGCACTTAGATGAGACCCATTTGAAGGGGCAGCCACCTTGGGGCGCTCTTGGAAAGATGGTTCCTGAACTGAGGACAGCAGGTACAAAGATCCTGAGGTATGAATGAATTGGGTGAGGCATGCTGAATGTCCCCAGCAAGCTGTGTGAGAGAGAGAGAGGGAGGAGGAGTTGTTTCATGAAAGGATGAAGTGCACCGCTCCTGAGTCCTTCCTTGCAGTGTGGTAAGGAACCACCCTTGGAGGAATGAGGAGTTAATAAGCACCTGTGGCATACTTTGTGCAGGGGCACTTTCCACGTGACTCACAAGACTTTGTGCGGGGCACTTTCCACGTGACCTCGCAGTATTGCAAACTATTCTAGTGGCTTCCAAAGGAACTGAGCGAATGAAGCTTTGGTGGGTCACACATAGCACAGACTCAACTCTGTCCCGGGGACCCTTAGCTTAGTTAACCTATCTCTCTCTCTCTCTCTTTCTCTCTCTCTCTCTCTCTTTCTATCTCTCTCTGTCTCTCTCTCTATCTGTCTCTGTCTCTGTCTGTCTCTCTCTCTCTCTATTACACACACACACACACACACACACACACACAGATAGCCACACCAGCACTCTGTCCTCCACGTGGCTCCCCTGGAGACTGGGATGCTTGGAAAGAGACCCAGAGCCCAGAGCTGTCCAAGTCAAACCTTCCAGGAAGCTGTGCTGTGCTGTCTGGAGCCTTTGGAGGTTGAAGTGGATGAGTGGTCCCCTATGGGGAACATTCTCTGGGGACCCTTCTGTTGTGGGAAAGAGAGCAGAACCCTAGAGCTGAAGGGCCAGCGGGGCAGGGTGGGCTGCCCTCACCAAGCCCTTTGCCCATAGACAGCAAGCTCTGAGGATGCCTGGGATTCCAGTGGCTTAGTCATCAGTGTCTTATCGCCTCTGAGCGCAAACTAGAACTCTCTCTGGGAAAAGGAGTCCTGAGCCCAAGAGTGTGAAGGAGCATAGGTCCTGATGCGGGACAACATGGAGGAACATCAGGCCTAAAGTGCCCCATCATGGGGACTGAGGCCCTGCTTTGGCAACACCTGCTTATCTCTCCTCTCTTCCCAATTCTGAATCCTTGCCCCACTTTTACAGGTATGGGCAGAGCCCGGGAATACTCTCAAGTGAACACCCTGCTCATGGCATCCATTGGAAAATCAGCTCTCTGTAATAATGGTGGCATTGATCATAGTGGGGTAATGGTGATGATTAAGGTGAGATTGTATTGATATTGGTAGAAGGCTAAGGTGACGATGGTGGAGGTGATGATGGTGGAGGTGACGATGGTGGAGGTGACGATGGTGAAGGTGACGATGGTGGAGGTGACGATGGTGGAGGTGATGACTGTGGTGATAGTGGCAATGATGGTGATTGTCATGGTTAGCTTTTGTTTGTTTTGCCAACTTTACACAAGTTGGGGTTATCTGAGAAGAGGGAACCACAGTAGAGAAAATGTCTCCGTAAAATTGGCCCGTGGGGTGTGATGGCCCACACCTTAATCCCAGCACTCAGGAGGCAGAGGCGGAGAGGCAGAGGGATCTCTGTGAATTTGAGGCCAGCCTGATCTACATAGCAAGTTTCAGGATAGCCAGGGCTACATGTGCTACCCTTTCTCAAAAATGCAAAACCAAACCAAACCAAAACAACAACAAAAATGTGGTCTGTAGGCAAGCCTGTGGGCATTTTCTTAATTGGTGATTAATATGGGAAGGACCAGTCCATGGTGGGTGGTGCCATCTCTGGGCTGGTGGTCCTAGTTGAAAGCAGATTGATAGCCAGGTGTGGTAGCGCACATCTTTAATCCCAGCACTCTGACAGAGTGCTGAGGCAGAGTCAGGTGGGTCTCTGTGAGTTCAAGGCTAGCCTGTTCTACAGAGTGAATTCCAAAGCTACAGAGAAACCCTGTCTTGAAAAACAAAAACAAAAACAACAAAGCAAACAAACAAACAAAAACTCATTAGGAACAAGCCAAGCTTTCATAATGACTGATAAGTCCCTGTGTTGTTAGTTTCAGACTAGTGGGCTCAAGGATTATGAGGATGACTATGAGATATGCATGACTATGCATACCGAGTTCCAGGAAAAAGAGAGAGAAATCAGGCTGAGCAAGTCATTGTGCGCAAGACAGTACGCAGCACTCATTCATGGTCTCTGCTTCAGTTCCTGTCTCCAGGTTCCTGCCTCCAGGTTCCTGCCTCGAGTTCCTGCCCTGACTCCCCTCAGTGACAGATGTGACTTGGAAGTGCAAGCTGAAATAAACTTTTTCCTTCTCAAGTTGCTTTTGGTCGCGGTGTTTATCACAGCAATAGAAACCCCAACTAAGACAGTTGATGATGTGGGTGGTGATGATGATGATGGTAGTGGTAGTATTTGGTTTGCCATAATGAAGTAACACAAACGATGTGGCTTTCACAACTGAACCTTATTTTCTCATAGCCCTGGAGGTAGGAAAGCCCACAATCTAGGTTCCTGCGGGTTCAGTTTCTGATGTGGCTCTTTCCAGGAATGTAGATAGCCATGCTGGCCTCACCTGGCCTATCCTTTGAGCATGGGAGAGACCCCTTTTTAAAGGTCATGTTCTTCTTGGCCTAGGCTCACATTTGCACAACTATCTAACCTTGATCACCATGCCATGCTCTCTCCGGGGACAGTTGCTTTGGAGGTTTTGAGGGAACAAATCCACTGTCCAGCATTAGAATACCAGGTGTTGGGGTGCTGATGGCTGTGCTGGCGGCGGCGGTGCCTGATACTGGCACTTGCTAGATGCCAGGTGTTGTGGAATTTTCTGTTTAAGTGGAAATTAACTCTCACAACAGTCTTGTAGCTTGGGAGACAGTATTGTCCCAGTCTCCCAGTGAGGGACAAGAGGCTCAGCGAGGTTAAGCATATGGCTACATTTTTGTTGTAGACAGATCATGGCATAGTTAGGATCAGAACACAGGCCTTAGAATTCCTTCCAAAGTTGTTCCTAAAGTCACATGGTTCTGCTTTCAGGCTGTAGGTGGCAGACTTGAGAGCATGATGTGCTGGGCAGAGTGTGGTCCAGCCCCTTTCTTCACCAGGGCTTCCTGTGACCCATTAGCCGAAGGCCATGGGGCAGCATGGGAGGGTCCAGAAATCGCTCTGCGCCATCAGCTCCAGAGTATTGACGGTTCTCCTCCCCTCAGGGACTCTTGGGAGTTAGGTGTCTGTGAAGTGAGGCCGGGGTAGAGGTGACAAAGATGACCTTCCAAAGACATCTGGGAGGTGGTGAGGGGCAGCGGTGAGGGGCGGCGGTGAGGGGCGGTGGTGAGGGGCGGCGGTGAGGGGCGGTGTTCAGCCCCATGCAGGAAAATCGTGGTGGAGCAAATTTGGCTGTCAAATCACGTGACAGGAGTTACTGGTTTACTGCTGCACGGATATCACCAGGAAGATCTGTGAAGTACTGTGCAGTGAGGAGTACCGTGCAGTGCCATGTAGTGCCCTGGAGCACTGTAGAGTGCCGTGTTGGATTCTGGAGCACTATAGAGTGCCGTGTAGTGCCCTGGAGCACTGTAGAGTACCGTGTAGGATTCTGGAGCACTGTAAAGTGCTGTGTTGGATTCTGGAGCACTGTAGAGTGCTGTGTAGTGCCCTGGAGCACTGTAGAGTACTGTGTAGGATTCTGGAGCACTATAGAGTGCTGTGTAATGCCCTGGAGCACTGTAGAGTATTTTGGAGTGCTCTGAAGCACTGTGTAGTTCCAGGTTAACAACACTGAGGCTGGAAATCTTGATATTATCTTATTATAAAAGAGCAGTCCGTGTAATGGTTGCCATGGTAATAGCATTCCTGTGAATAGCAGCAAGAATGATGATGCCAGTGTTCATGGAAACTACAGTAACAGATAAGGTCTTTCTGTAATGGTCTGCCCTGCTGTCCCTTTAAGAGACAAGCCACAAACACACACACCCACACCAACACACACCATACCCATCTGTCCGGAGAGGCGAGTCTGAGTCCCTTCCTTTCCAGCTCTCTCTCCCTTCCCCGCTCTGTCTCTGCCTCTCTCTCTGCTCTTCTTCCTTTTCCCCTTCCCTTCCATAACCCACTAAATAAATATCCAACTTCACTCTGCATGGCGTGCCTATCTGTCTCGGTCTCTTACCTGCCACGTAGCTTCCTGCCTGGGCCCCGCTGCCTTCGTGGCCTGCCGTGTCTTGGGACCTGCTGCCCGCTCAGGGACCTGCAGCGTGGGTTCATGGCTGGCTGTCCACTGCCGTTACTCGGGGACCTGCAGCATTGTACTTACACCATTACACTTTCTCTGCTGACTCTTGGCTGGAGGGGTCTTGACCTCAGACCCCTAACTTCACTTTTTTCTTTGTCTTTTCAGTTCCTAGCACTTCAGATTTTTCTATACTGAGCTCCTAGTTCCAGTGCCTGGTGTACAAAGGGGCTGAAGTGTCGTCAGCCATACAAAGGTAATCCCCTGAATGACAGAGTCACAGTAAGTGAAGGCTAGGGCTTTGTGTGGGTGTTCCAGGTGAAGCCTCTGATGTCCCCAGAGCCACGGCTACCTGCCAGGACAGACAGGGCAAGAACTCATCCAGGGCCTGCTGAGGATGGCATGTTTCATACTACAGCTCCCTGCAGGTTGCCAGGAAGAGGGGAAAAATGAAGAGGTCTCACCTTGATTTTCAAAACCAATTATGTGATCCATCCATGTGGTTCATGCCTGTAAATAATCACACACTTGGGAGGCTGAGACAGGAAGATTTTGAGGCAAAACCAACAAACAAACAACCCCCCCCCCAAAAAAAAACCCAAGCCCAAACCCTCCAAATAGCAGACATTGCATGTGAGTTACTCCAGGGTTCAGAGATGCACGTGGAGACTGTGACAAACCTCTTACTTAGGCTCAGTGAGGGGAGGGGTGGTACATGGGGCTCAAAGTCAATCTGCCTGCAGAGGGGTAGACTTACGGCAAGTTCTAGAAATTGGACATGTTGGGGTTGCACCCGCTCACATTCCCAGGGTTATGTTGGGCCGGCGGCAACTTTTGATGTGTGAATTCAGATGTCAGCTGGGACAGAAGTGCCTCATTTTAAAGTCACAAATGGAGGTGTGGCACTGTGCCACTGCCACAAGCAGGGGACTGAATGGCACAGCAAGACACACCCTGCAGGACAATTTGACACGGCCCCACCCAGGGTCTAATTTGAGATTCCGATGGACTCTGGCCTGTGGTCTCCTCCAGACTGTGGAGCGAGTGGCCTTTGAAGTTCTGGGCCCTTCACCAGAATCCAGAGTATTTTAAAATAAAGATGATTTAAGAGTCAGCCCACATACGCCTGCACAGCAAAGCCACCATCAGAAAAAGTTTGCTTTTGAAGTTCCCTGTGGTAGTGTTCCAGCGTCTTCACTAGAATCAGGGCCTCTCAAAGCGCTGTACACTGAGCTCAAAGCAGGAGTGGCTGTTATCCCTGCCTGATGTTTGGAGACGTGGTCTAAGTAGCCCAGGCTGCCCTCAAACTGAGGGCCAGTGCAGTACAAGGACTCACTCTTCTGTGAAGCATGAGACGGGCACGCTCACTGGCAGTTTCTTCACTCTGGTCACCACACAAAGCCTGTGAGGCTGCTGAACGGCTAGCAGAACTGTCTACCAGATGAAGCCAGAGCCTGGGCAATAGTTTAAGCTCACCCTGAGGCTGTTCTGCTAGGCCCACAGGGTTAGGCAACACCTCAGCCAGCTTCTTGGGTTAATTTCTGACTTTCACAGACCAGAGGTATTACTGCAGGGACTCTCGAAGCCACTGTGACTCGACCACACTTCCCAAAGCGCAGTGAAAAGCACAGACATCCTCTATGCCCTTTCAAAAGCACCAAGTGCCTACTACTGCCTGGTGTGCTGTCCTCCATCTCAGCCTGGCCTTGGAGAACACAAGGGGCTTCGGACAGCACTTGGGGGCGAGAGACAGGCTCACTGAAGAAAACCATCATCTTACATTCTTTTATTATAATATATATGCAGATCTGTTAAACATACAGTAATAAACTCTATCAAATAACTAGAACAAGGCATTCTGCTGGCGTCTCCCCACACAGGGTTAGGGAAAACTTGCTGTCACTCTCTGGAGGCTGACAAAGCTTACGACTTCAGTGCCGATTTCAGCTCCCCGGCCACAACATAAATCAGAACAGACGTTAACTAAGGGCGCAAGTGAGCTGGAAGGAGTGCAGGATTAGGCGTAATCAATAGTGTATTTGCCTGCATTAGAGCCACAATGCAGATGGTGCAGAGTGCCTGTTTCTCACAGCTTCTCTGGCTTGGTGCAAGGGTGGTGGGAAGCAGCTGCTGTGATCAGCTGGGGCTTCTCCAGGGCTCACTGCTTCCCTGGCTCTTCCTTCTTAGATCCTTGTTTCACTTTGTAATCAGCTAGGGCGGCCTTGATGGCATCTTCCGCCAGCACTGGAAGGCATGGAAGGGTAGATAGCTTCAATTTCTAGACACTGGAGAGGTGGTCTTTATTATTTTATATACTTATATACATACATCTTTATTTACATATTTTTATAAATAAGCATTTAGAGTATCTACGCATGTGTTTGTACATGGAAGTGAGCAGGTGCGTGTGTCATGCATACGTGGAGGTCAGAGGACAACTCGGGGAAGGAGGTTTTCTCCTCCACTATGTGGGTTTAGGGCTCTAACTTAGGCTTGGTGACAAATCTTTAGCCTGGGCCGTCTCCCTGGTCTGGGAGGTGGTCTTAAGAAAATAATATTTTTAAACCAGAGGGTACAAGATCTGGGAAGGCCCAAGAGTGTCCTAGCTGGGCACACACAGACTGGGATGGTCACGCCTTCCTGGCTGGGATAGTGAGGGGATCTCCAGAAGGCTCCTGTCACCTGGCAAGGACACAACAAAGATTAGGTCCCAGAGTGTGAACTGGAGGTCACAGGTGCTGGCTGAGCTGTCTTAAGCCAAGAACTCTGAAAGCGTGGCCTGTACACCCCCTCCTGCAGTCCTGCACTGGAAGGCTTGTATTGAGAGTCAGGCTACAGGGAAGTAGAAGCTGGGAGTTGGAAGGGGCAGAAAGCTAACAACCCACAGAGAGGAGCACCTGGAAGGTTGAAGACCAAGGCTTTCCCAGAACTGCCAAACTGTGTATAAGCTCAAGTGGAATGAGTATGATCTCAGGAGGTGTCCCACTCAAAGGGCACCCTGATATGGTGTTGGAGTGATCAGCCTAGCCTGTGATGCATGTGAGCTATAACTCAGTCTGTAAATCCTGCTTTCTGGGACACCTAAGAGGATGGAGGGCATCAGATCTGACTGCAGGTTCTGAGGCGCATGGCCTCTCATAGGGCAGTTGGTGCAGCAGGCGATGTACAATGGCCTCACCTGAGGAAATGCACAGTGAACAGGGTGGTGGAGAAAGCTATCTCTTGCTCAGCCTATCCGCCATGGTGTGGTGGGAATAGCAACCGCCTCTCCCCAAGTCTCAATTCTTCATCTCTGAGGGGAGCAATGCTGTCCGGCTGGGTGTTTCTGGGTGTCTCTAAGCCTGACTTCCTAGAGGTCTGGGCTGTGAGAGCAAACTTCAACTTCCTAAAGGTTACTATGGCAGCCGTTCTCTGGGGCCGCAGGGTGGGGTCCTAACAGGGAGTCTTAGGTGTCTGGCAATCGAGACAGACTCACTGGAGCAGTGCAGTTTCACGGGTGGAAGGCAGAGCTCCTTGGCGATGTCTGTGTTTTTGATGGTCAGGGCCTCCTCCACCTGAGGAACAGGGAAAGCACAGAGTTTTAGTGAATCTTGCCGAGGGTCGGCAGTGAAAAGGGAAAGGGAAGGATGTCAGGGGTAACGCCTGCTTAGGACTTCAAAACAAGGAAGTACAAGACTGCCACTGTGTACCAAGGGGTCTCCAGCAGGCTCCACCCTCCACGCACTGCATGGTTGGGTAAACAAGAAAGAGATGCCCTGCCTACTGAAGGCAGGCGTTGCCTAGGCTGCTTGTGTGGCTTTTGTTCGAGGATGAAAGCTCTGAGGGGTGATAGGAGGCCGTGAAGCATGGCCTGTACGTTAAGGAAAGCCAGTCTCTCCCAGGCAGACCTAAGATTAGAGAAAGAGACTACCTACTTTCTGTCATAGCTCTGGGGGCATGTGTGCAGTCTCACTTCTGCTCCCCGCCCCCCAGGCTAGTTGTTAACCAACTTCCTTTGTGCCATTTTCTTCCAGAATAAGCCGGCCTAGGCTTCCCTGGCCTCCAGGAGTTCTACAGACAGAATGCCTGAACCCTGCAGAGCAGCTGGTGTGAGGCTCTGCTGGTGAGCTGGCTGACAACAGAAGCACCGGCTTCCTGAACTGGGTGGGGTCTGGGAGGGTGCAGAGGATGAGTACCTGACTTTAAAATGGGATCTCGCGCAGGGCAGGGTGATCTTTAAATCTTCCCACCCCAGTCCTGCCTCTTCCTCCTATGAGCTGGGATTCCAGGCTGGTGTGCCATGCGCCACCATACCCAGCTAGTGCAATGGTTTTGATGCAGCTGGTTCTCAGCAGCCTCAGCTTAGCTGCTAAGGAGAGTGCTGGAGAGAAAAGGACGCAAAGACTTCACAGTCCTTTCCAGATCCCTTCAGAGGCTCCTGGCCAATCGCATGGACCATTGTTTGCCTTTGGTCTGCTTCCTTGGTTCTTGCCCTTGTGACTTTGATTCCTAAACCCCCTTCAACACAAGTGACTTCTACCAATTTGAACGTGCCTTTCTGGAATCCTACTTGAAGCAGGAGACGGGACGAAATAAACAGGAACTATCACATAGCAAGTCTCAGAAAATCTTAAGGACATTAGGGAAAACCCTCGGTGGTTTCTTTTCAGCTCTGCTCTGGTGGAAAGACTGGTGATGACCCTCTTTTATTTAGCTGATAACCAAATAGCAGTAATTAACACAAAGCCTCAATCAACAAAATAGTCCACAACTCCCAATGTGAGGAATGTAACCAGTATTAAACTTTAGAAAAATGGCTTCAAGAAATCAAGCACTTTTTTTTTTTTTAAAAAAAAAGCAAGGTCTTGTTGCATGGCCCATGCTGGCATTGAACTCGCTGTCTTCATCTTCCTGCTTTTTGCTTTGTGACTCATGACTGGATTCTTCCAGAGTCAAGGTCACAGGGAATTCTGATTTAATTCTATAGTTATTTTGAGACAGGCCTCATTATGTAGACTAGGCTGGCCTAAGTCTACACTGGAGACCCTTCTGAGTGCTGAGGTCCAGCAATCCCATACACTCTGTGAGTACTCTTACCGTCTTCCCCTTTATTAACTCCGTGGCTAGGGAGCTGGAGGCGATGGCGGAGCCGCAACCGAATGTTTTAAATCTGGCGTCCACAATCTTCCCCTTTTCATCCACCTGAATCTAGAAAAGAAACAGGAGCTAAGAGGTGACCTTGGAACCTCTGGCCCACAGTGGGTGTTCAGCATGAGCCCTGGGTTGCTGTGCACACCAGATGCTATGGCATCAATTACTATGTTTTATTTCAAAGAGCTCAGTCACCGACAGTGAAACCTGGGGCCCACACAGACCCAGCTGACAGAGAGGAGCAGGAAAATGATACCTCTCACCCCACCCTAGCCTGCTGTACATGAATCCGTTTGCACAAGTCTGTTCACAGCTGCTGCCATTATCAGCCCTAGGCACCAGGAGAGTCTGCAAACAAGGTCTCCATTAATACCTTTCTCTTGGACACTGACTGATCAGTGGCTCCATCCTACTGGCCATCACGGAGACTGCAGTTGAAGCTATGGCTTCCGGCTTAACACATTCCCTTTCTCACTGGGGAGTGCTAGTTCCTGTAGAATCCTCATTTGCTCAGTAACCTTCACCAAGCCTTCCACTCCCTGAAAGCAGGGTCTACGCTGATGCAGAAGAGGAAAACGAAGTGATCTCTTTCAGAACAAGACAAGTCTCTACTCTCACCATCCAAGACAGCCATTCATCCCATCTCACAGGATCAGATAAAACAAAAGGTTCTGTGAGCAAATGATGTTCCTTTGCATCCAGCCAGTACCTGCAATTTCATGACGTCACCACATGCAGGAGCACCCACCAATCCTGTTCCGACATTTTTAGAAGTTTTGTCAAGGGACCCCACATTCCTAGGATTCTCGTAATGGTCCACAACCTGAAACACAGATTAGCAGAATTCACCTCGGCGTTACTGTCTCCCTTTGGCCAGCAATCTGAAAGGACAGAGGTGGGACAAAGTGCCACCTGAACTCTTTTCATCTCCTTCCCAACGACCTTCATCTTGGAGATACTGTCTGAGATAGTGGCAAAAAACTTCATTGAGAATTCAACCACAACTGATCATGTGACTTACACACTGATACCAGATTTGGGCTCAAGCACCACTGGCGTTTTTACCAAAAAAAAAACCCACACCGTCTTAAGAGAATTATGTATTTTAAAACTCCGGGAATAAAAACGGCCCCAAATATAAAATTTCTTCATTAAGTTTTAAAGAGACTGTTATGGAAGAGCCAAGATCGGGGATTGGTCATTTGTGGCTGTAAACAAAAACACAGCGCCACCCTGGTACAGGAGCGCCCCCTGCTGCCATAAAGCTGTCAGCCCGCCCAAATAATGTCAACAAAACACCCTTCCCACGGGGGTTGAAGGCCTTGGCAAAGGCACCCAAGCAAGAACAGAACAAACAGAGATTAAAGTCGGGGACGTATTAGGATTTAATAACCTCGAACTTCCTTTCTGGCTAGTTAGCAGGAGGCAACCTAATCTGTAGACTTTGAATCTAAGCTCTAAGGCCCCACAACGTATCATCTAATTGGTACTTTGGATGTCTCGACCAGCTGCGGTAGTCTTTTGTTTTTCCGAGTGAGTTTCAAGTCAAGGAACCTTTACGTCCTTAGAAGGTCGGGGCCCACAAACTACCTACCCTTCTATACTTGGTGCTCCCTGAAAATACACACACAAGTCACCGAGAACCAAAGTTTTATGTTGGTTAGGTGCTTGGCTCGCCTGGAGGCCATCAGCCCCTTAGAATAGCAACGTAATAGGTTTGCATTTGTGGGCCCGAGCGCTCCACACACACAGAGACTAACGAAAAGCGCTTTTAGGTCTGTAGGGACAGGCGAGGCGAGGCGAGGCGAGGCGAGGAGAGGCCAGTGACTTGTCAGGGCCAACTGGCAAGGCCAGAGGCCTGGTGAGGACGCTGTGGGGCGGGAGGGAACAGTGAGTTCAGGCACGCGTGCGTGCTGTTCCCTGGCTGACACACCAGGACCCTCCTTTCCGGGCTGTCAGAGATGGGACACTACGAGTGAAGGCCGCGGCGGGGCTGAGTTTGCCGCGGGATCCTCGGTGGCTGTTTCTGGGCCACTGTTCACCGGGTGTAAGCAGGCCAGGGAGAGGCTGGGGAGCCGACCGCTTCTCCCAGGGGTACTAGGCTGGCGTCGGCCCGGGCGTCCCCTCGACGGTTCGCGCACCCCCCTCGCCTTCCCATACCTTCTTGTGATAGAGCCGAGCTGGGGCTGACAGCTCTCGGGCGGGCAGGCGCGGGCTCCGGAGCAGCAGCGCGGAAACCGCCCTCCTCAGACGGCCGACTCCAGCCGCCGCCATGTTGCCGGCTTGCACCAGCGTTGACCTCGGCAACGTCAAAGAAGGGCGTACGCCGACGTCACCGAGGCCCCGCCCTCGCCGATCTTCTGGCCACGCCCCTAGGGCGTGGCGGCCCGCAGAGCGGGAAGGTCTGAAGCGGCGGGCGAGTTTGTCTGGCTGCTACAATGGGTGTTGGAGTTGCTCAGGTGTCGCAGGGGCGCTCAAGGGCGCTCGGACTGAGGCGTACTTGGGATTCGAACTTGCATAAGTTCCTGTTCTTCATGTTCTGGCTGTGTGGTTCAGGAAACGGGTTCTCTTTACTAATTCAAATACATCCCTTTCATCTGTGGAGCAAATACATATTGAGTGTACACTAGGTGTCACTACAGAATCTTGGGGGTCCCGAGGGAAGCGGACACGATGATAACCTTGCTAGTGAAGGACAAAGGCAGTCGGCCAAATAATAATGATTTTCTACTCAAGAACGAGAATTATAAGAAGGAAACAAACACCATGCTTCGAGGCATGTATATGTCAAGATACACACACACATTCCGAGGCACGGATATATACATGGACATACATACCCATGTATAAAATATTCAGTTTTATGGCAGTGTACGGCATTCCTAAACAGTACTTATTGTAGCTTATTAATAATATTGACTATGAACCCCCAAAGTCACAAAATGCCCGGGATTAACACCTCCTATGTACTAGACTTTACAAAAAGGGGAGTGTAGTATAGTGTGCATGCGACAGGAGAGGAAGCTTTATTTTTCGGGAATTTTCTTAGTGATGCATTCGATCGCACCTGCGGCTCGGCTCCTGGGAAACAAGTACGCACTAGAGCCGATAGAGCATTGCAGGCGCTTAGTTCCCAAGAATGACTTTGACCTTCTTAAGATGGCGTCTCGACCTTACTACAGACACCACGCTCTCACGACTTCCGCTATGGCCGCCACTTCCGGTTCAAAGACCCAACAACTGTCTAAGGTTGTAACGGAACATACGTTAAGATAATGAGCCTTTTCCCCTGACATTAACTTCTAGAGAAATATAAAGAGAGTCTCTACGGTGGATATTTTACGGGTTTCACACGTCATGAGGTCCTCCGTGCAGCTTCTGGTGGTGATGAAGCGCAGTTTTGATCAGGCGGATGCCACGGACAGTCCGATGTTCGCCGGGCTTCGGTGAGCGAAGGAAGACCCGAGAGTCGCGGGCTGCGCAAGATGGCGACTGCGGCCGCATCGTCTGCGTCCGAGCCGGAGGTTGAGCCCCAGGCCGGGCCTGAGGCCGAGGAAGAGGAGGATGAGGCGAAGGCAGCCAGCGTGGAGAGGAAGGTGCTGTCCCGCGCTGTGGCTGCGGAGGCGGCCAAGACCAAGGAGCCAGGGTGGGACCTGCAGCAGGAAGGCGTGAGCGAGAGTGACGGCGATGAGGAGGACGCCATGGCTTCCTCCGCCGAGAGCTCTCCCGGAGAGGACGAGTGGGAGTACGACGAGGAGGAGGAGAAAAACCAGCTGGAGATCGAGCGGCTGGAGGAGCAGGTGGGCTGGGGTGGGCAGCGGACTCCTCTTGGATGCGCAGACCTGGCCCGCCCCCTGGTTCTCCGCGGCATGGAGACCTCTGAGGTCGCCAGCGCGCAGTCACCCATCGTGTCTCCTGCGTCCGCCCGGCTTTGCGTGCCCAGTGTTTTGCTTCTGTAGTCCATTGAATTCTTCTCACGGCTGGGACGGAAGTAGCGTTAGTCAGGTTTCACTGCGGGAAACAGAGGCTCGTGGAAGGGGCTCTTACACAAGGTTGAAAGTGTTTCTTGTTTTAAACCGAATTCAGGACGTCTACTTTTCTGAAATTTTCAGTTTGTGTTTGTATGCATTGCACGCACAAGGTTGTCTCCTACTATATGCATTCCGGAGATTGAACTCTGGTCGTCAGGTTTGGCCGCAAGTGCCTTTACCATGGCTGTCCTGGAACTGGTGTTGTAAACCAGGCTGGCTTCGAACTCACAGAGATCCGCCTACTTTTGTCTCCCAAGTGCTGGAATTAAAGGCGTGCACCACCATGCCAGGCTGAATTTTTTTTTTTAAACATCTCCTCCCCTTTTTTGCGTTAGGGTCTTTCAGAAATAGCCTTGACTGTCCTGCCCTTTCCTCCTGAGTGCTGGTAGTAAATTGCGTGCGCCGTCACAGTTCTGGAATCTAGGACCATGGCACATACGCTTTATTGAGATGGAAGGTTGCTCAGGAAGGTTGCAGACATCTGCCCTGCGGTCACGCAGTCTCTCAGGAGATGGGTGCCTTGGCACTCTACAGTTTGGGCTGTTTCGTGCCAGCATACTGAGATGCTATTGTTTACAGGCTTTCTGGTTTAAAATTTGTCAGCGGGAACGTTTCCAGACGTTCAAGTTTCAGTGTGGCATCCGTCATCTGTGCAGCCTTTAGAAGGGTTTGTTTGTTTTTGTAGCCTAGTCCCCGTACAGTAGCCCCCTTCTCTCTCTCCCAGCCTGGGGCACCTTTCAGCTTCGTTTCTGTGGGTTTAACTGCTTCAGAAACTTCATATATAAAAGGCAAAGTTGATCTGTGTGTGTTACACTCTTGCTAGTCTTGTTCATTGTTTCTAAGGATTTGTAGATTAATCTTGGTTTACTATGCAGTCTTGGCCTGTGTATGGTTGTCACCTTTTCCTTCCCTTATGTCGTTAATTTCTTTTCCTTGGCTGTTTGAGCTTTAGACTCAACTATCTGGGCAACTGGTGTGGTTTTAGAAGGTTCTGGGTGCGTGCCCAGTAGGGATCACTAGGGAGCAGGCTCACAGGCTAGGCTATGTCTTCCTTCTCTTGCTTTGGTAATTAAAAATTTTAAATCATGATTGGGTGGTTATATCAGACACTTTCTACATCACTGTTTTCCCCTTTATCTGCTAAGTGGAAATTACACTGATTGATTTTCTGCTTCAAAACCCCCTTTCCACTTCAGATTGTGCTTGGCACAGTATGCGTTGGTCCCTTCCCTTTGCTGGGCAGTGCTCGGCTGGATATGGGTGTTTCGCCCTGACTTAGCCCTGTGCTGTAAGGATGGGCTAGGGAGAAAGCTGCACAAGCCCTCGTGCAGGGGTGGCAGTGGCAGTGCTGTCTCCTGTGGGAAAAGGACAAAGGGCTGGGGCGTGGAGGTGGAGGCTGAGTGCTGGGTGTTGCCTGTGTGCAGCCAGCTATAGAAAGGCTTTCTTCCTCCCTCCACCCCCTTTCCTCCCTAGATCTGTTATATATACAGGTGTATCCCTGCAGGCCAGAACAGGACACCAGATCTCATTACAGACGGTTGTGAGCCACCTTGTGGTTGTTGGGAATTGAACTCAGGACCTCTGGAAGGGCAGCAGTGCTCTTAACTTCTGAGGTATCTATCTCTCCAGGCCCCCCACACCTTTTCTGACAAACATTTGATGGTGTGTCTGTGTTAGCTGTGGAATGCCGCAGGTTTCAACGTGCATGTCCTTGGTGGTGGTGTTGAACACTCTTCTTGTTTGCTGTCTGTATGTCCTCAGGAAAGTGTTTTGTCATTGTTTTCTTTTCCTTTTTTTAAAAATTTTTTGGGATAGAATCTCTTATGTAGACACAGCTGACCTAGAACTCTCTGTGTAGATCAGGCTGGCCTCAAACTCACAGAGACTTGCCTGCCTCTGCCTGAGTGCTGGGGTGCACTACTACATCTGAGTAATTGTTTTCTCCTTGAAATAGTATTTCTGAAAGTAGCCATGGCTGGCCTTGAACTCAGTCTCCCCACACCTGCCCTTGCGGTGCTGGGGCTGCACTGTGCCTGACTTGTGGTGCTCAGTGGAGCGGCTTCCACTGAACTGACCTAACTCCAGTGGAGGCTGTTTTTCTTCCCCATTCCCCCTCGTAACTACTGTTTTGGGGTCAGATAGTCTTAATTGTATGTTTCTTCCTTACATGACTTAGAACCCCAAGGAGACGGCTCCTCCATGTGATAACCTATGTCTCTGCTCCATTCTTTTAGGGTGGGTGTACTGAAGCTATTCTTATACGCATCCTTTGTGTAGATGTGTTAAGAGTTAAAAATATTTCCAACGGGGCTGGAGAGATGGCTCAGTGGTTAAGAGCATTGCCTGCTCTTCCAAAGGTCATGAGTTCAATTCCCGGCAACCACATGGTGGCTCACAACCATCTGTAATGAGGTGCCTTCTTCTGGCCTGCAGAATATTGTATACATAATAAATAAATAAAAAAATATTTCCAACGTTTAGCTCGAAAGGTTTAACTTGAAAGTGTAAAAATGAGCCTTTATATACAGAGCCACACCAAGTGCAGCTCATTGCTGGTCCCGGTGGCAGCAAGGTCTGCATTCCAGAGTAGGAGGCTGGTGGCAGGACTAACCAGAATGCACCAGCGCTTCTCAAAAACCAGTCACAGGAGTCTGGAGAGAGGGCTCAATGGTGAAGAGCACTTGACAGAGGACCGGAGCTTGGTTGCCAGCACACAGGTCAGGTGCTCACAACCACCTGTCACTTCAGCTGGAGGTGGCCTCTTAGGACAACTGATGTCACTTACCCCCATGCATACATAATTAAAGAAAATATTAAAAATGGAAAACAACCAAAAAACTATGAACATGGTGGTGTCAGTTAAGAATCAGCGCAGGCTGAGGCAGTGGTGGTGCACGCTTTTAATCCCAACCCTTGGGAGGCAGAAGCAGGTGGATCTCAGTGAGTTCGAGGCCATCCTGATCTACAGAGTGAGTTCCAGGACAGGCTCCAAAGCTACACAGAGAAACCCTGTCTTGAAAACCAGAAAACAAAAAGAGTCAGCCCAGGTGCTAGTGACTGGTCTGTTGTACCCTCTGTCTTATTGTTCAGGAGTTGATTTGTAGGTATGGGATGTGTGCCAGAGTTGGTAACTGCAGTCATATTATCATGGCTCCTTGCTGTCTTTACTTGTTCAGTAAAATGAAAGAATTCATATGACAGACACACGTGCCGTTTAGAATCCCCATGTACTGTACGGCTGGAGACTAGCAGTGCCCCCACTTTATAGATGGAGAGCAGAGGAGACACTGGCACTTTCCTAAGGATGGTGCTCTGTCTCATTGGAGAGGGCCCACGGGCAGGGAGCTTCCTGTTAGGATGGGAATACTTCTCCCCCACTTCTGTGTGGTGGGGTAGGTCCTGCTTTGCTTACTTGGTGGCCTCCCAGGTAAATACCAGTGGTTTGGGGCAGATGGTGTCTTTTTTTTACTGGAGGTGACAAATGCTGACTTTCCTCTTAGCTGTCTATCAATGGCTATGACTACAACTGCCACGTGGAGCTGATCAGGCTGCTGCGGCTGGAAGGGGAGCTCAACAAAGTGAGGATGGCCCGCCAGAAGATGAGTGAGCTCTTCCCCTTGACTGAAGGTAATGGTGCCGGGAGGATAGTTGAGGTAAAGGACGTAAAGGAAAGCCAGCTATTTCTCATTTCTTCATTGTCTTAGACTGTTTTGTAGGACGTAGTCTGATTGATTGTACACGTTCACACGAGGAATACTGGTTTCTTAGCCCAATACTACGAGAAACATTTCCTTTAATGTAATTTAACTTTACATTCCACAAGTGTGTACTTAGCCTATGCTCATAGTGCCATGGAATTGTAAATTAAAATAAATATTTATTGCTTTAAATCTCTTTAAAATATCTTTATGTATATGGATGCTTTTGCCTGCATGCATATATGTGTGCACCTGGTACACAGGACAGAACAAGGTGCCAGATGCCCTAGAACTGGAGTCCTAGACAGTTGTAAGCCCCTGTGTGGTGCAGGAATCCAACCTGGATCCTGTGAAAGAGCATCCCGTGCTCATAGTTTTAAATGCAAATGTTTCATTTGGGTACAGCAAATGTATGTTTTGTTTGCTTCCACACATTTGCTTCTGAGAAACATACTTGCACTGAACAACTTTGTGGCTGGGTCTTTGTTCTCATTTGCAACTGATCTTTCAACTCAGAAACCCTGGCCTTGGATGAGTGTTTGTCCCATCTGCTTTTCCCAAAGCACAGCTCAGAGGAACAGAGACCACACTGTACATTTCTAATGAGGTTCTCACAAGCAGACTAAGCAGATCATGGTAACAGCGGAGACCCAGTTTCCCACAGTCAGCTGAGGGTAGCAGTAGTTCTTGCCTCCTGGGGACAGGTGTGTCATGTGCCAGCTGGCTCTGAGTCATCAGATACCTGTTGTCCCTCTTAGTGTCTTACAAAATTGACAGACAGATTGGGTGGGGATGTGGGCGAGTGCTGTGCAAAGGAGGGAGTGGTTGACATGTGCTGCCTTCCTCTGTCTGGAAGCGCAGTCTGTGTGCCCTGCTTAGGCTTTGAGAACTGGGTCTCTAGGGACCTGGGAGCAGGTGCGGGTGTGTGCTGAGGTGTGCTGTCATCTCTAGAACTCTGGCTGGAGTGGCTGCATGATGAGATCAGCATGGCCATGGACGGCCTGGACCGCGAGCATGTGTACGAGCTCTTCGAGAGAGCTGTGAAGGACTACATCTGTGAGTACTGGGCTGGGTGTGGGCTGTGCCAGATCCTTACTGCCTTGTGCTGCATTGTCAGCTGTTGCCAGGGAGTTCAGTTTTGGTTTCTTTGTGATATCTTAGTGCTTAGAGGTTTTTGGGCTTAAGACAAAATTGGAGAAACATTTATAGGAAGAGAGTAGATGCCTCACTTGGCATCTGTCTGGCAAGGAGGACTTACATAGGATTTCTAGGCACTTAGAGTTTAGCTCGTATCTCTTGATTGAAACAGACTCTGACTCTGTAGCCCAGGCTAGCTTTCAGTTGGTGACCCTTCTGCTTCCACCTCCTGAGTGCTGGGACTAAGGCATGAATGTCTGTCCCTCTGTGTCCTTTTTGTTGTTATTGCTCTTAGGCAGGGATTCATCATATAGCTCAGACTGGCTCTGCTTCACCTTCCTGACATGGTTGGTGTACAGGTGCATGTCACCACATCCTTGTCATCGTGAGTCGCAAGCCAGCCTGGGCTACACAGTGAGTTCAAGGGTAGCTTAGATTATAGAGTGAGACACCCCCCCCCCCATCTCAAAGACTAAAAAAGATTCTGAAGTAATTTTCTTTGCACAGACTCTTTTCCCAGTTTTAGACAACATGTTCTTGAAAAGAGCATTAAAACACTTTGAGCTGAATGGGGCTGTTCTCCTGTAGTCCCAGTACTCAGGAGGTGGGAGCAGGTGGATCAAGGGTAGCCTAGGGTACGTAGTGAGAGACTCTTCTGGGACACATGAAGTGTTGTCTCAATAAACAAACAAACCCATGAGAACAGTTCTTGGGTGTAGCCTCATGATGACAGAAAAAGAACGGTTCTGCTAACAGAGGCTGTGTAGCACGAATACTAAAACCCAGAGACAGAAATTGGGGTTCAATCTGAAAACCAGAAAAGCCCAGCAGCCAAGCCACTAGAGAAGTCTTACCTCTACCAAGACTGGGTGACCATAAATAAGCAGACAGAGCCTCTCCTCCCATTTTATATTCCCTCTAGTGCTGGAATTAAAGGCATGTGACTCCCTAGGACTGGAATTAAAAGTGTGAATCACTACCACCTGGATTTGTTTCTGCTTTGGTCTTGTGTAGCCCAGGGTGACCTTGATCTCACAGAGACCCAGCCGACTGTTCTAAATCCTGTGAAGGTGTGTGCCACTGCTGCCTGACATCTAGTGACTTTAGCTTTGCCTCTGGTCTTTGGGCAAGATTTATTTGTCAAAATACAAATAATATACCAGTATAAGGCTGTAACCATGTGCCCTCATACGTGTGGTCCTTCTACCCCTGCTTCTCCTGTACTGGGGTTACAGGTGTCATCACTACACCCATCAAGGTAGGCTCATTGATTGTCACAAATATACCACTCTATGGGGAGAGGTTGGTATTAGAAGACTCCACATGTCAAGAACTCAAATCAAAGCTGGGTGGTGGTGGTGCACACCTTTAATTCCGGCACTTGGGAGGGAGGCAGAGGCAGGGATCCCTGTGAGTTCGAGGCCAGCCACGCCTACAAGAGCTAGTTTCAGGACAGCCAGGGCTGTTACTCAGAGAAACCCTGTCTTGAAAAACCAAAATAAAAGCCCTCAAAACAAAGAGTGGACTTCTAATGACAGGGTCAGTGCTTTTGCTTCTGTTCTTTCCCTTTGGCCTGAAGACCTACAAGACTAGGGTCAACAAGTAAAACTCTAGGATCTGAAATTTTTGGACAAGTGACTCAGGTTTATAACTACAGTCATTTAAGTATGTTAGTGGGTTTCTTCCTTCATACCTCCCCTCCCCCCACCCCATCTGTCTGTCTTTTCCTGGGATCAAACCCAGGGCCTTGCATGACTCCACACTCTACCTGTTCTGATTTAACTTAGTTACATATTTGTCCCTTGTGTGCTGTCTGTGCAGTCAGATCTCTGTACTGTACTTAGTGGGGCACAAAGATAGCTCTTCTGGGGTTTCAGCCTTGTGGGAAACTGGGGCAGTTGTTGGCAATGGTCTTTTTGCACAAATGAGCACCTTTTGGTGGGCGTGTGTTTTGTTATCACTGGGTGATGCTGGGGCCTGTTATGAGCTGAACTTAGAGATTGTGTTTCCTTTTCAGGTCCAAACATTTGGCTAGAGTATGGCCAGTACTCGGTTGGTGGCATTGGTCAGAAAGGTGGCCTCGAGAAGGTTCGCTCAGTGTTTGAAAGAGCCCTTTCGTCTGTTGGCTTACACATGACGAAAGGCCTGGCCATCTGGGAGGCTTACCGGGAGTTTGAAAGTGCCATCATGGAAGCTGCTCGGGTGAGTGCCAGGTCTCTGACCCAAACTTGCAAGAAGTATTATTTTGAAACAAACGTCCAACAGTCTGACAGCCCATCCACCTTTGCCAGTCTGTAAAGGGATGGACTGTAACAAACAAAGTCAGCAGTCTCTGGCAGAGGGAGTGATTTCCTTGACTTGGATGTAGTTGACTTCCTTTTCCCATGTATGCATGTTTGTGTCTGTTTATGTGCGTGCATATTGTGTGCGTGTGTCTTTGTATCGTGTTTGATGTGACCAAGGGGAGGTTTCAGACAGATGGATAGACAGCTGTCCTCTCTGTGAGACCCGCTGTGGTGACGATTGGAGCCTGGTGGGTCACCACAGGCCATGCATTTCTGATCTGGAAATCAGGAATCCAGAATGCCTCACCTTCAAACTGTTTGAGCACTGACTGACACCAGTGGGGAATTTAGCTTGTGAACTCGTGTGACAATGTGTCACAGCTAAAGCATTGTACAGAGTGACTGTCAGGTTGGTGTACAAGGCACTCTTGCTAGACTGGGCTCCTGCATGCCCGGGCTGGGCACCACATTTTGTTGATGCCTATTCTAGAGTCTGGGGAAAGGATGGTGGGTGAAGCGTTCCTGTGTGGGCAGAGTCACTTCAGTGCCTTCCTAGTCATTCCCTGTTCTCAGTTTGCAGAGGGCCGTGACAGCGAGTGCAGAGTGAAGCCAGAGCCTGTGTTCTGCATTGTCTGTTCTCTCTAGACAGAGGCCCAGGCTGGCTCTCAGCACCTCCTGCTGCCTCTGCCTCCCCACCCTGCCTCACTTTCCAAACACTCTTCTGTTTTGTCTCTATTGTTACTTTACCACACTGTGATTCCCCGGGAGTCACTAAGCTGCCCCCCCCCACCCCGCCTCGTGCTACCGTCCAGATCCTTTCCCAGCCTTCCATCTTGGCCTCAGCAGGTCCCACGGCTGTGACCCTCAAGTGCTCTGCTGTGTGACACTTAGGCTCTGCACCTTGTAGTCCTTTGGGTTTCTTTCTTTTTGCATTTTTATTGTGTGCATGTGTGGTATATGTGTGTCACAGCTGCATGTGTGGTATATGTGTGTCACAGCTGCATGTGGGGGTCAGAGGACAACTTGGGAGTTGGTTTTCTTCTACCTTGTCAACCTAGGGATTGAACTCAGGTTGTCAGGCTTGCTGGCAAACACCCTTCACCTGCTGAGCCATGTCACTGACCCCAACAATATGATGATATCTCCTGCATAAGACATCGTAGACTCTTTTTTTTAAATGTCTTTCTGAAATAGAAGGAACCAATTCCTGTCCTTTACCACCAATTTGCTTCTTTAGCCCATAGCTGCCTTCCTTTCCCCTTCTGACTGGGAACAAACCTTTGATTCACAGCTGGAGAAAGTCCACAGCCTCTTCCGGCGACAGCTGGCGATCCCACTGTATGGTAAGAGAAGCAGACTTGTCAGTAACCCGCGTTCTGTACTCTGCTAGTGCCATTGCCCATGTCCTTCCCCAGTGTCCTGCGGGGCAGGCAGGGCAGGCATTCTCCTTCTGACTGGAAAAGTCTGTTAGGCGTTGTTAGTGCTAAGACTTGTGAGAGGCAGAGGCAGGGGAGGGACACTGTTTCCTGGAGCTCAGCTGCCACCTCTCCCTATCTCCCTACTTTTCAGACATGTTGGAAAAGGGGGACAAGAGCACAGCCCTCCATTTTCTGGTCATTGTTGGCCAAGAATCCCATAGCTGGTCTGTCTCTGCATTTCAGGGGTTTTGTGTCACCTCCTCAGTGATTTGGTTGAGGAGTTAATTATAGGCATTCAAGTCTCAATTTCTGGAGCTTTGCTTAAGTCTCCTGTGGGTGAGCTCATTTTGGAAAGGCTTCAGCAGGGGGTTTGGGCAGTGCCAGGAGGGCTTTTCCTGTGTGTGGGTTGGCATTGCCTTGTCTATTTGCAGGCCTTGCTCAGAACCTTGGGGCAACTGCTTGAGCACCCTTGATCTCCTCTTCCTTCCTGGCTCCCTGGGCTGCTGTTGTCAGCCAGGCTGCTCTGCCCTTAGGGTCCTTCACCTGCACTGAGGATTACAGTGGGACACACTATGGGATGTGGGTGGGATTGCAGGAGCCTGCTGTGCAGCACGTGACCAGCATGTGATCATGGTCTCGTGGACCGAGGAGCTGGTAGGGTTGTCTGGCCTGTTGTTTTGACATGTCCTGAGGCCAAGTGTGGGCTTACAGAACTGGAAATCAGAGCAGAGAGATGGATGTGGGATGGGTGGGTGGCATTGGAGTCTTCTGGCTTTTTTTTATGTTGGTAAAACTCAGTGACATAACACATGGGCTGAATCGATCTTTCCATAGATATGGAGGCCACCTTTGCAGAGTATGAAGAGTGGTCAGAAGACCCCATACCAGAACCTGTACTTCAGAGCTATCAGAAGGCACTCGAGCAGCTGGAAAAATACAAGCCCTACGAGGAAGCGCTGGTGAGTGCTCTGCTCCTCGGGGAGCCTTCCCGCAAGCCTGTCTCATCCATAATGCACATTAACAGTCTCTTTAGTTTGTCTTACTATGCAATACGCAGAGCATATAAATGTCCTGACAAAGTGAACGTCCATGTACCCACCACCCAGGTTGAGAACTAGAGCATTGCAGTGCCCTTCTCCGATTGCCTCTTCCTCTCTCTCCCTTGAGGTAATCACTTTGATGACTTTTGTGATAATAATTCTTCCTCCCCTTTTGATAGCTGTTCTCCTGTGAATGTACCCATAATATATCTTTTGATCTTGCTTGTTGAACATGGTGTGGTGATTAGGCTGTGTTTCCTTCCCTAGTGTGTATGTGGGTTTGGCTTATGTCATAAAGGTTGTATGTGTGTCTGTACACACAGAGGAGGGAACTCACTGACCACAGTGCTTCGCTACAGGTATCCCTGGGTGCCTGTGCCTGTAACTGCGCCAGTTGATTTTGACATTGTTGAGTTTCCCTTGATTGCTAATGGCAGTGCGTTTGCTCATGTTAGCTGGCCATGTGGTTCATTTTGTGAAGTTTTCAGTGTTAGAAGTTGCAAATTTTTGTTTTTTCCTAGTGCTTCTTGGAAGGCCTGACTTTTGATCCTTCCTCACGACATCTTTTTGCTTTTAAACTACTGTCTTTATTAGCGCTGATTTCATCTTGAAGCTTTAATCTGAAACTTCCTGTTTGGGTTTTCATTCAGTGGTAGCGGGTAGTAATGATCAGAGTTTGTGGAGAGCCATTTGTGGCCCTGATTATGACAAGTGTGTCCCTTGCCGCAGTACAGGGCCACAGCGTGACTAGGAGTCTGCTGCGGCTCTGCCGCTGCCTGCTTGTGCTGTCATAGCACTGACTGTGGCACTCTTCACAGCCCGTTTCCCAAGGGGGCTTGGCTTCTTTCAGCTGTTGGCATGTCCGTCAGACCTACGCTCAGCTTGTCAGTTCTGTTAAATGTTTGATTGCTCTTGCATAGATGTGTGGGTCAGTTTGAGGGAGTTCCTGTCTCCTGGCACGTGACCCTGCAGATCTCCTCCGAGGCTGTGAGGAGAGCACCCTGGGAGAGCACCCACTGACCGATTTCTTTTTAAAGACTGGTTTTCTAGTTGTGTTTCCCGATGTCTAAGAATACAGTTGGTATCTCACATTACTGGTTTCCTTTTCATCCATTGCATTTGCTCACGCGGGAGTGCTGGTCTCTGTCTAGTTTATGTTAGCATGTTACTTGTAGGTGACATTTACCACACTTTTTCTCTCTCTTTTTGGTTTGACTCTTCAGACACCTTGCTTACACTGTCTTAGTTGTGGCCCACCAGCACTGGTGGCAGTGTCTCAGACAGTCTGTGCATGCTGTTTTCTTTGCTTTGTGTTTCTTTTATCTTAGCTCTTAGTTGAGTGTGTGCTGTCTCTGCACCCACGATTCACAGGCAGCAAATTTTCTCCATTTTGTACCCAACAGACTCTGTCTTTGTTTTCCTTTTTGACAGCTGTTTTTCTCAGGCTATAGCATTGCACTGATATGATATTCTTGGCAACAGAACACATCTCTGTCTCTTGTCTTCTATTGTCATAGACAGCTCAGCTGTCTGTCACAGACTTGCTTCTTGGAAGGTAATTGTTACTGTCAGATTTTAATCTCTCATTGGTTTGATTTGATGTCCTGTGATCTCATTACCTTAGGTGGGGCCGGCTGCCCTGTCTGTCTTTTTTGAGCTTCTTTAGGCTTCTTGATTCTGTTTTCAACATCTTTTTAAGTACAGTGAGGAAGAGGCCAAACCGTGAGAGTTAGGCTGTGCCAGTTTTTTTTTTAAATTTATTTATTTATTATGTATACAACATTCTGCCTCCATGTATGCCAACATGCCAGAAGAGGGCGCCAGTTCTCATTACAGATGGTTGTGAGCCACCATGTGGTTGCTGGGAATTGAACTCAGGACCTCTGGAAAATAAGCTAGTGCTCTTAACCTCTGAGCCATCTTTCCAGCCCAGGCTGTGCCAGTTTTGAACTGAGCTCTGCCACTTACTAGCTCTGCTTCTTGGTAAGTGCTGAGCTTCCCTGTGCTTCAGTTTCCCTGGTGTAAGATGGGGACAGTACTGGGATCAGATTGCTACAGCCAGCAGAGGCTTGACCCGGCATAGGCATTCTGCCTTCACTGGAGTTTGTCCTCTGTGCCTGTTTCTGCCATGACAGACTGGCCGCTGGGCAGCTCTTGTCATTTCAGTGGCACACTGTCTAGATAACCAAGTCAGCGTCATTACACCCGGCTGCTGTGTGTAGAACCTGGTCCCTTTCTCTCTCTCTCTGCCATCTGTAATGGTGTGTGTGCACTTGAGTTGACAAAGCTGTCTGTCCACTGTGGCCATCAGCAGAGGGTGGCCGAAGAGAAGATAGGCTGACAGAGGGTTAAGAGGGTTCTGTCGTGTATTGTGTTGGTGACAGCCTAACCCCCTCTGTCTTTGGCCTGCACCTGTGTTCTTCTGCTCATGTTTTGAGTGTGAGCCCTTGACTACCCACTCTCGGATGGTCATTAGCTGTGCTGTTCTGTGTCTGGTCACGAGTGCTTGTGAAAAAGGGTTTGATCCTGGTGGCAGGGGCCTGGTCTACAGAGGCTCCCAGTGCTCTTAGGAGACAGATCTGTCCTTTTCATGGTCGGTTCGGAGCAAGAAGATGTGACTGTCATCCTGGGTTAGCTGCTCTTGCCAACGCTGAATTATTTGAAGATGCTTTCTGAGAGTGCCAAGCATTCAAATTTAACAAGTGTGACTTTCCTGTGCCACAGTTGCAAGCAGAGGCCCCCAGGCTGGCGGAATACCAAGCGTACATCGATTTTGAGATGAAAATTGGGGATCCTGCTCGTATTCAGTTGATCTTTGAGCGTGCCCTGGTGGAGAACTGCCTGGTCCCAGACTTATGGATCCGCTACAGTCGGTACCTAGTAAGATACGTGCTCCAGTTCTGTGTCTGTCAAGGTAGAGCCTTCCTAAGGAGGTGGCTGGGAGCGACATGCTGTCCCTCTCTGCATTGTCTCCTTCTGTCTCCCCCTTCCTTGCTTTTGATGCTGTTTTAAACTTATTGCCAGCTCTAGAATTTGTGATCTTCTTACTGAAAACTATAACAGACTCACTTTTCATGTTATTTCATTATGGAAAAATTTTAGACGTGAAAGAGATGGTTAAAGTGAAGCCTCCCTTACACACCACACTGCTGACCTTCGGGGCAGTCGTAAGCCTGTGTGGTCTGCTTTCTGGCTGACTTTGTTGTAGCTTTCTCTGCTGTCCCCATCTCTGTTGTACTTCACTGCTACCTCAGCATGTACATGAAACGTCCTTCTGTGTGAAGGCCCTGGTGAAGTTCACACATCAGGGTTGTGTCTGGGCCGTTTAGGACCACCAGCTCCTCTGCCCTGCCCATCTTGCGCTCCCCTGGTGATTTCTTCCTTGAAGAAGCCAGACCACAACATTCTTTTATTTATGTTTTTGTCTTCATTTCTTTTGAGACAGATCAATATGTAGCACAAGCTGGCTTCAAATGTGTGAATCTCCTGCCTCAGCCTTATAGTTGTTTTGTGTGTGTGTGTGTGTGTGTGTGTGTGTGTTGTTTTCCTCTTGGGCCCGTCACCCAGTGCCCAAATAAATACAGAGACTTATTGTTATTTATGAATGCACAACCTTAGCTTGGCTTGTTTCTAGCCAACTTTTCTAACTGAAATTATCCCGTTTCTCTTTATGTTTTGCCTCTGAGAGTTTTACTTTTCCTTATTCTATACATCTTTCTTTCCTTCTTACTCTGTGGCTGGCTGTGTGGCTGGATGGCTGACCCCTGGTGTCCTCCACTCCTCCTTTTCTCAATTCTCTTCTCTTGAGCCTAGATTTCTCTTCTTATTTATTCTCTATGCATGCCAGCCCTGCCTATTTCTCTCCCCTCTGCCTCGCTGTTCACCATTCAGATCTGATCAGTCAGGTGTTTTAGGCAGGCAAATTAGCACAGCTCTACGGAGTTAAACAAATGCAACATAAAAGAATGCAACATAACTTTGCATCATTAAACTAACAACACAGCCTCCTGAGTGCTGAGATGACAGGCATATCTTGTACATTCCTAGCTTCACAAAGACATTTCAAAGGAATCTCTTCCATCAGTTGGCTGTGCTGGGAGTGTTTCTCTGATGGTCATTAGTCACCTCTGTCACCCATGACCAGCTATCTAAGGGAAGAGGCTAATGGGATGCTGTCCTTGATGGTGTGTGGCTGCAGTGATGATGGCGTGGGGCTGCGGTGATGATGGCGTGGGGCTGCGGTGATGGTGTGGGGCTGTGGTGAT